AAACAAACAAAAAGTCCTCAAAATTATTGAAAATAATTAAACTGCCAGTAATAAAAAGCAAAGGACAAATACAATAGAATAAAAAGATACAAATGAAACAAACTGTGCTTTAATGTTTTTTATGCAAGTCTCAAGCAGTTTACAGCCTACTACAGAAATGAATAATCAAATGTAAAATAAAACAGCATAGTCTTTACTGTAAGAATTAAGCTTTTTTATTTCTTATTAAAGCTACAAAAGTCCTTCACTCAAGAGCAGTGTGTGGTTTTGAATTTGTCTTTTGTTGTTTGATGAATATTAAGCACACAGTCGCAGCAGGAATATAGCCCGCTGTAACTTTAAGAGCCGCACGGATCCAATTTACTGTTACACGCGTATTTTCATTCTCAAATCTTTACGTTCATTTATTACATGACCGACGATGGTATACATGAATAATCACTGAGCGCCGCATTTTGACACATTTTTGCGTGTATTTGACCGTTTAGGATCGTTTTGTCCCGATTACTGTATTTTCATAATCGTTGGAGGCCGAAATCGAAACAGTTTTTCTATTAATTGCACTGCCCTAGTTATTACAGTTTAGTGTATTTTTAAATATAATACTTAATTACATCATTTAATTTTTTATAAATTTTTCATTAAATATTCAAGCATCCTGATTTTTGACATTACATCTGATAGTACAGTATGTCCTGAACCCCAAATACATCTCAGACATGAGTATCAAATAAGAATTTATGAACATAAGCAACTAATTTCATTATCATGGACGAGGCCATGCATAATACATCGCATTAAAGCACATCACATTAAACTAAGAAAAAATGGTGACAAATTATCTTGTTTTCTTTAATTAATGAAATGTGGTAGCCATGGGGGTTCTGCACAGAAATTGTTGCTCTCTGAAGACTATAGTAACAGTCTTTTGTCTTCAACTAGCAACATCTTTACAAAACTGTGCTAGAAAAAAACTGGTCAATTTACAAAGAACAAAACTCCAAAAGTATTCGCAACACGTTTTAATACTGTGGCCTGTATAAGAAAACACATGAAACATTCTTCTTTTACAACCCACATCCTCTCATATCGACACTGGCATATTCATTAACAGGCAGTTTCTGTAGCATTTGGTCCACTAAAAGAAACCACAGCTAAGCAGATCTAAAAGGGTCGATAATAGAAATAATTAAGTAGTGTGACTGAAGTACATAGAACTGTTTTATAACAGCTTGTAAATACAGGAAGAAAACAACAAACATAAATATAACAAACTCTGTTGGCAAAATTTTAACAAATCCAATGCAGAAATCTCAAAGAAATGGCATTGATAAACTTGGGCAAATTTAACAACCAATCCCATGTTATCACACACTCAGTCCACACAAAATGCAACAGGCAAATGTGCACATACCCACACATACACTGCAAAAATCTTTTTATTTACACTAAATCAACCATTGCCATGATAGAACATTGCGCTCACCTCATCACACACGTACCGAGACGCACTTAGTTCAGGGCGTGTCAAAGGCTGATCAAGTTTGGACATGTTACTTCTATTATGCATTACTGAATGGAATTACATGGAATCAGAAACACCCATATATAGATACTGTCTTGGAAGATTGGTGAAAAGTGTGAAAATGAAGAATGGTTACATTCCCATGCTTAATACTGAGATATCAAGCTGCCATATTTTTCCCCAAGAGAACAGAATACAATTCACTCTGCAACTCTGATACAAAGCGAGCCACTACAGGTCAGGATCAGATGCAGAATGGGAGCAAATCCTTGATGTAGAACATTGAATTTGTGCGTTAAAAAAAAAAAAATCATATAAAATAACTTAACCTCATAATTCAGTCAGTCTGATGTGGTCACAGAGGGCCGTACTAAAAGAGGAGAGCACCCATACTGCCCACTTCACTCTGTTCTTTCACAAAGATCTCAAAGTACTGGTAGATGATAGTGACGGCCAACAAGATTCCAGTTCCTGAGCCGATGGCTCCTAGGAAGTCAGCCATGACTGAGAGGCCACCTATACACAGGCCTCCGAAAGCTGCAGCTGTGGGGATGTACCTAAACGAGCATTTAAAGAAAGCTTTAGTTATTCTATGTTTGATTCATTGAGTCTAATTAAGTTTGAGTGCTCTGTATGTATTACCTGTTGAGTTCATGGACCATAGAAGTTTCTCTGTGTCCCCTCATAACCATCTGCTGTTCTTTCAGCTGTTTGGCGACCTAAGTAACGCAAAGTGTACATATGCCATAAGTCGACTGTACAATGCAGCTCAGTGTAATCAATAAGCAGGAACAGTCTAATGCTCTTACATCTTTGGCAGAGGATCCAGACACTTCGATCCAGGTCTTAGAAAAGAAGGCACA